TTTCGACGTTTCATGACGTCTACTGTATAAAAAATAGGTCTTCCGTTTCCGGCTGTCTGTCTCTCGTCTGTCTGTGTCGATTTTTATGAGACAGATAATCTCCGAAAGTACTGGGTCGATTGTTGTCAAATTTTGTATTTATATTGGAAAATCCATATTCAATACGAAAAATTACCATTTTAAATATGTTTTAATTTCTTGCGTGAAAAGATGTCTACGTATATTAAAAAAAAAAGGCAAAATATATTGACCGCCCACCCACCCTGTCTCAATTGTGATGATTTTTTTTATTAGTCGTGGGCCAAGAGGGCGGAGCTTAACTACAATATCCTTGTTTCTCTACAAGAAATTGCCATGTGCAACATGTTCTTAAGTAATCGTGTTGTTCAAAGCAAACTGTATGTATTAAGTACAAAAGAAAACCAAAACATAACCCATTCGTATCGATCTCAATCAGGCTTTAATTTTTACTTAATACTCGCTTAGTATTTCTTGAACAACACGATACTCAAGAACATGTCTTACATGGTAATTTCTTGTGGAGAAATAAGGATTTTGCGATTAAGCTCCGCCCTCTTGACTCACCACGAATAAAAAAAATCATCACAATTGCGACAGGGCGGGTGGGCGGGGCTAATATTGTGACTTTTTCATTAATATATGTAGTCATCTTTTCACAAAAAACTTAAAAATCGTGATGAAGTTTTCATTCGTTGTCAGATCGAGGGGCGGAGCGTAATTGCAAAATCCATATTTCAAAACAAAAAATTACCATTTTAAACATGTTTTAATTTCCTGTTGTCATATGTTAAGAAAAGAAGGCAAAATATATTGACCGCCCACCCACCCTATCTCAATTGTGGTGATTTTTTTTATTCTATATGTATTAAGTAAAAAAGAAAGCCAAAAGTTAAGCCCCACCCATCCGTCTCGATCTAAATCATTGTTTCTTTCGATTTTATCAATTTTCGTGTATTCAATTTTTCTATTCCTTTATTCTTTAATTTTCAGTATTTCGTTTTTTCGATTTTAAGTTTCTCAATTTGAATATTTCAATTTTTGAATTATTTGTTTCTTTAATTTCTCAAGTTCTTTGGTTCCGTTTTTTAGATTATTCATTTCATTTTTTTCGTTTTTGCATTTTTCATTTCTCAATTTTACAATGTTTCTTTCGATTTTATAATTTTTCAGTTTTCCAAATTTTTAATTTTTTTCATTTTTCAAAGTTGTCTAATCATCTACACCAATAATGTGATGACGTCACTTCAAAATCGTACATAGTAAATGGGCTTCAAATTGTATAAAATAGTTTATAACTCCGTATTTAAATATTAAACAACATTTTGCAATCTGCAAAACCGAATGCTTTGAAATCTTGCAAATATTTGAAAGTTATGATAAGCATCAAAATTTTTTAATCATAAAATATATTTACTTATCCCCTCCAAAAAATTGATGGCGTCAGCTCAAAATTTTGCCGAATAAATTCTATCTAAAATGTCCAAAATAGGATGAGTCTATACTTGTGATTTATCATTCGATTCATATTTGTTGCATTTGCTTATACAGGATGACTCAAAAAAATTAATGAATCAATCAATTTATTTTATTGAATAAATCAAGAATTGCAAAATGAATACCTACTTTGAAATGTTGCAGATGTTTTGTTATTGTAAGCATGTAAGCAAAATATATCTGTTTATTCCCCCAAGAAATTGATGACGTCAGTTCAAAATTTTGCCGAATAAATTCTACCCAAAATGTGCAAAATATTATGAGTTTTTACTTGTAAGTTGTAATTGGATTCATATTTTTTAGATTTGCCCGCTATTTTCTCAGAGGATATGTTATTTGCCAAAATTAGTCTTATCCTAACAAGAACTAGCCCCGCCTACCCACCCTCTATTTTTTAGAGGGTATATCATCTGCCAAAATCAGTTTTATCTTAGCAAGTACTAGCCCCGCCCACCCACCCATTTTCTGAGAGGATTATGTGATTTGCCAAAATCAGTCTTATCGTAGCAAATACTAGCATTTTGGCAAATGACATATCTTTTAAGAAAATAGGGGGCGGGTGGGCGGGGCTAGTATTTGCTAAGATGAAACCGATTTTGGCAAATGGACATATCCTCTGAAAAATAGGGGGCGGGTGGGCGGGGATAGTACTTGCTAAGATAAGATTTATTTTGGCAAATCACATCTTCTGAGAAAATAGGGGGCGGGTGGGCGGGGATAGTACTTGCTAAGATAAGATTTATTTTGGCAAATCACATCTTCTGAGAAAACAGGGGGTGGGTGGGCGGGGCTAGTACTTCCTAAGATAAGATTTATTTTGGCAAATGACATATCCTCTGATAAAATAGGGAGCGGGTGGGCAGGGATAGTACTTGCTAAGATAAGATTTATTTTGGCAAATCACATCTTCTGAGAAAATAGGGGGGTGGGTGGGCGGGGCTAGTACTTCCTAAGATAAGATTTATTTTGGCAAATGACATATCCTCTGATAAAATAGGGGGCGGGTGGGCGGGGATAGTACTTGCTAAGATAAGATTTATTTTGGCAAATCACATCTTCTGAGAAAATAGGGGGGTGGGTGGGCGGGGCTAGTACTTCCTAAGATAAGATTTATTTTGGCAAATGACATATCCTCTGATAAAATAGGGGGCGGGTGGGCGGGGATAGTACTTGCTAAGATAAGATTTATTTTGGCAAATCACATCTCCTGAGAAAATAGGGGGGTGGGTGGGCGGGGCTAGTACTTCCTAAGATAAGATTTATTTTGGCAAATGACATATCCTCTGAGAAAATAAGGGGCTAGTACTTGAGATTTATTTTGGCAAATGACATGTCTGAGAAAATAAGGGGCTAGTACTTAAGATTTATTTTGGCAAATGACATATCGTCTGAGAAAATAGGGGGCGGGTGGGCGGGGCTAGTACTTCCTAAGATAAGATTTATTTTGGCAAATGACATATCCTCTGAGAAAATAAGGGGCGGATGGGCGGGGTTAGTACTTGCCCCGCCCATCTGACTGATTTTGCCTCTACTAATCTTGTAAAAATATGTTAAATTTAAAAGGTGTTAAATTGCAAATTTCCATAGTAACGAGTTAAATTCCTAAATCTGGTGTTTATTTTTTATGTTTGATTCTATTTCAGGAATGAGGGAAGTTTTGTTGAAAATTTTCGACCAATTTTTTTGGTTTCTAATATTTATAAGCTTTTATCTCCCTATATTTGTTATTGTTCGTCGATTCTTTCGAAAATTGATATATGTACTATATTTGCTTACTCTTTTTGCTTAGTTTGCGTAGTAAATGCTGTTTAAATTTTCACAAATAAAATACTTCTGTACTTGTGCTTCATGAATCCGCCTTGACATTTTACCCTCCAGACTTTCGTACTTCGAGGGAAGTTTTCTCAAACAATATCTGATCAATTTTTTTTATTTTTTTTGTGAGTACGTTGACTTTTTTTGATTTCTAATACTTGTAATCTTTTATTTCCCTATAGTTGTTATTGTTTGTCGATTCTTTCGAAAATTGATCTATGTTGTATTATATTTGTTTACTCTTTTTGCTTAATTTGCATGGTAAATGCTGTTTAAATTTTATAAAATAATATATTTCTGTATTTTTGCTTCATGAATCTGCCTTGATATTTTACCCTCCAAAATTTCCCAAAAAAGTCAAAATTGTGTAACAAAAATTTATGCAAATATAAGAGCAACGTTCCATAAGGTGGCTACTTTTTTCGTTCACTGCGACTTGTATTACCTACAATTTTTATTTCATTGTTGTTCAGAGACGAGGGAAGTTCTATCGCATAATATTCGACTAATCTTTTTCTTTATATGTACGTGTTTTTTCACCCACCACCTTCATTTTTCTTACTACTGTAAAAGCTATTTAAATTTGGTAAAATAACATACTCTTGTACTTGTGGTTGATGAATCCGCCTTGACAATTTACTCTCAAGATTTTCGCAAGAAAAGTAAAAAATGTATAATATAATTTTATGCTAATACAAAAGCAACGTTTCATGGCTGAGATGGTTAGGGGTGTACTAATAAGTGAAGGTCACGGGTGAGATACCCTCATGGGACTTTTTTCTTTCACTATGGCTGGTATTATCTATGACTTTTTTTTGTACCATTTCTTTAGCCTTCATTTTATTATCAATGAGCCTTCCACTTTTTTGTTTTTGGAACGCCATCTTTCTTTTTATAATTTGTAATTCTTGACTGACAGCTCGCATCGTCTGTCAGCTGACAGGTCCGTACCTATAATTGGCTAAAATTTATGTTGGCACTGATTTACGTCAAATTGAGAGCAGTGGTACCAACCACCCAAAGCTTGACAAGCAACGCCAACTCTAATTCACTTCGTATCTTCCTTCTTGTCAAAAAGTTTTAATTTTACCATTGTTAAGAATGTTTATTTTTGCTCGAATTAGTAATCTAAATCGACATTCCCCAGCACGCAGTCCCTGCCAAACTCGGATTGTTAAATCACCAACAATCTTCAGAATCGAGGATGCGAGCAGGATGTGTAATGAACAGTTTGATTGACTCATTGCCGGTAGGTCGTGTCACGATGTCGCTGTTCTGTTATCGATGCGATCATCGGCCATTTTATCGGCAATGTCGCGGCGACTTCTTTTTCTGCATGCGATACCAACCCAGTACTACTAATAGTACTAAAAACATGCTAGCGAGTTTTGGAAAGCGCCTCATTTGACTGTACATAGATTTTTACTTAGATGACGCCTATCGCACTACATACTTAGTTGACATCAACACAAGAAATAAGTTAAACCGCTCTGTCACGTTATCAAGAAAAACAACCACGACTTTGGTGATTAAACGATCCGTCTAGGTTGTTAATTGTCTTTCTCGTAGCCTCGTTTTTATCTGAATTCGTTAAGAATTTAAGTCGTTTCGAAGCGACATCTAGCATCCGGCGGCGGAATTAGTACTAAAAATGGCCTCTCCATACTCACCCCTTGACATAAAAGGCCGACAGCGACGATAATGTGCAACCGCATTTCCCTACGATCTTCTCCAGGAGCAGGTTATTCTGAAAAAATGCATTCTTTAATTGAAACGTCGAAATCATTAAAACAAGAGAAACGCAGCTGACACAGGAAATGCAATTGCACTTGTGATATAGGATAGCGAAGGCATGCGGCGACATCTGTCATTTCATTACACGCAATTAGGCGACTATTCTAATTTAAAAGACCTCGAAAAGAACAACTGTTGTTTACATTTGTAGGTTAGAAGCTTAATTGAGCCGAGATTTCACACCGGTGCAGTTAACACGACCAACAATGATCGTCGAGGCGCATTGTTTCGACGTGACAAGTGTCAAAATTGACACGCCGTGAACCGCCATCTGGCGATGATCGCTCATGCTAATTCGTTAGTTCTTGCTTGGGTGATAACGGCTCGACCCAAATTTGAACACCTGCAGACGCACGCCATAACTCATCCATTCATCAAATTCAATGAAATTAGGCAAGCCTCGTAAACCTTCTTTACTGGCTGTTAACGTAATTGTTGTCAAATACAAAGCCGGCGGGAGTACGACTCGGTACTACTTCAAACGTGTGAGAATCACGAGCTCTACTGAATAAGGTGTTGTCGGTACGACTTTGACAATTCGGTACTGGTGTCAAAATCGATGTCAACACGACCGAAATTTCTTTCTGCGTCGAACTTTCTCACAGCTGCGCCCGCCAATATGCATACTCAAACAAAGAAATGGTCCCCGAGTCGTACCCTGCGGTGCTGGTACTCGTGCGTGTTTAGAAATTCATCGTTGCTCGTAATTTATTCCACACATACGCGTCGCATTTATAAGCCACAAGTGCCTTATTTACAACGACTCTATTTCATCCGTCTACTCTAATAACCTGCATTAGTAATGGCACGCAAGCGTATTTATTGTATTTGCTCCACCAATAATTTCCTGCATGTTATATGACAGAATTGGGTTTTCAGAGCTTGTAAATTATGAGAAACGAGTGTCACAGGAAGGTGAATTTTTCCGTGGTAGGCTTCGTTAGCGCGTAAGTTACGAAACATAAAATCAACATGGAGTCGCCTGAGACAGATATCGCTTCGCTTCGAACGGAACCTTCAATTTCGAATGTAAATATTGTAGTGGAACTGTACTTTGTTTGGCCAATTCATTTTCGAATCGCTGTGTTACGGTAAGCGGGGAGTTTTTCTTGTCGGTAGTACCGATTCGTTTTCTTCCTTTTGGGCGTAGTACGTTTTATGGATAATATAGGCGTTTAATGATAATCATTATTAGCACATAAACACGGTCGCTAGTCAGCACGATTTAATTTAAATCCCCATTAATCTGCGAACCACGCTTATAATGACATATACGCATGCACCTACCCACATTCCGGCATTCCCGGCGCTGATTTATATCGTCGGGCGATAGTTCCATTTAACGTCTCTATAAAATAGAAATTATGAAATTGGAGAGGTTGCGGATCGGTCACACTTTGATGTTTACGACAAGCCAACGCACGGAAAGGAGAAGGTACGCAGGCTTCTTTACGATCCTGTTTGTGACATTTAATTACTCCGCGAATAATTAATTAATGGGTGTTAATGCAAGTCTTTGGTGGTCTCGCCGCCACTGCGATGGTACCATATTTGGACGCAGGTAGTGGTACCTATGTAAATTTGTACGCACGTACGACCGTGGCACTTACATCCATTACACGGATGTCGTGCTTACATCAGGATGGAGCGACGTGACTGGCGCCTAATTTTCAAACTTATCGTTATTAGTACCGCGTCGTACCCGAAACGCTACAAAACATATTTGAACTTCTGCAAAGCGACCGTCTTTCTAAGCAACTTAGAACGTCTGTAAAATTCGCCAATCATGAAGTAGTACCACGTCGTACCGCAACTTCTTCTGAATAATTCAACTTCAATTTGCGCATTTTCGACTAATTTTGGTTTCCGCAATGTTCTATCACAAATTTTTCATCATTCTTCCTTCTAATATACTTATTACTTTTCATAATTCTCTAAGTTCTGTACGTCGATTAGTGCAACAGAAGGGAATCGCTGAAAATCTAGACAAAGAAATATTCCCTATTTATTACCCACAACGTATTAAATACTAAATAGATGTACAAAAAGTAATATAATTTGACTAAGTTTAAATTCGAGATAAGTCCCCTCTTTTCTTAACCAGGCACTAAGTATACATTTTTTAAATTAAGTATGTCGTACAATTTGTCAAAAAAATGATCAACGTTGTTGCACTAATTTATAGGTTATGGCCCCTTATGTTGATTTAAAAGTGAGATAATACAGATAATATGTAAGTTTGTTAATTAGGAAGAGGGAAATCGCTGCAATCTATAACCAATCACATTTAATATCATTGTTTAATAAATCTTAAAATAGTATGCACACTTGTGTTGCGATTTTTGTTTTATTTTTTACATAAATAAGCCCGTCTAGGGTTTTGAAAGCCAGATTAATAGCAGAAGGGAATCGCTAAAAATCTATACAAAAATGTTCTCTTTATATTAAGTCAGTACAACATTTTCCATAGTATTTAAATTTGTTTTTATTTTTAACGTTGATAAGTTTGTTTATATTTCTGTAGGTGCAAGAGACGGGAATCGTTTTAAATCTAAGGGGAAAACTTTCCTTTTATATCACACAAATGCTGCTAAAATTATACCACAAAAGTATACTCTACACTTTGTCAAAAAAAAAACTAGTATACAGTAATACCATTAATTACAATTTTTCTTATTTTTGGTGAAAATCGGGGGATTCCCAAAGAGACATTGTATCAAAATATTTAAGGAAGAGAAAATAAAAATTAATTGTTGCATAAATTAAAAAAGAATAATGTACCTATAAGTTTATCAATTACGAAGAGGGGAATCGCTGCAAATTGTAACTGGCTACATTCGACAATATTATTTAATAAATCCTAAATAATTATCAACCTTTATGTTGCCATTTTTGTTTTTATTTCTTATGTAAATAAGCTTGTTGAGAATTCTGTATTTGATAAGATAAGACTGATTTTGGCATTTAAGACATTTTCGACCATTTTTCAAATATATTCGAAAATTAGTTGACAATATTTTCTTGTAGATTTCGAGAATCAGAAGTCATTTTGGCCTTCGTTTCTTCGGAAATTTCTACCGTTTTTCGTAAATTTCTAATTGAAAAAAAGCAATTTTTAGAGTTTTGTCAAAATAGCTCCATATAAAACTTTTGTAGATAAAAAAAGAAATTATTATAAATTTTTGTTCCATTGTTCCATTATTAGTTTCCACTCCCACTCGATAGAAGAACATAAATAGCCCCGCCCACCCACCCTGTCTCTTTTTCAGTGAATGATTTTATGCAAACTGAATGAAATAAATGATCTTATACTGAACAGAAACAAAATTTGTAGTTTGAATGAGAAGAAGGTGGGTGGGCGGTGCTAGTACTTGGTAAGATAAGACCGATTTTGGCAAATGACATATATTCCAAGAAAATAGAGGGCGGGTGGGCGGGGCTAGGACTTGTTAAGAAAATAACGATTTTAGCAAATGACATATTTTCCAAGAAGAGAGAGGGCGGGTGGGTGGGGCTAGTACTTAAAGGAAAAAAAAATCAAAATTAAAACACATGTTTTTACCTGAGTTTATGAGTTATGATAGCATATATTAATTAAAAAAAAAACGGATAAAATGTAAGTTTGTGAATTAGGAAGAGGAGAAGCGCTGCAAACTATAACCAATCAGATTCACATTTGTTACGTAGACAAACTAGTTTAGGGTTTTTATAGGTCCGATTGCAGCAGAAGGGAATCGTAAAAAATCTAAGTAAAAACTTCCCGTTATTTTTTAGAATATTTAAATTTAATGAAAATTGTAAATTCTCATGTTGCTACTTTTGTTTTTATTTTTAACGTTGATAAGTTCATTTAGATTTCTGTAAGTACGGTTAGTGCAAGAGACGGGAATCGCTTAAAATCTAGGAAAAAACTGTCATTTTATATCACACAAATACCACTAAAATCATACCATTACAGTATACTCCACACTTTGTCAAAAAAACTGGTACATAATAACACTAATAATTACAATTTTTCTTATATTAATGAAAATCAGGGGAATCCCAAAGACAGAGTGTATCAAATCATTTTCTTTATTAAATCCTGAAAGATAATCAACCTTTATGTTGCGATTTTTATTTTTATTTATTGCGTAGATAAGCTTGTTGAAGGTTCTGTATGTCCGATTAGTGTAGCAGAAGGGAATCGCTGCAAATCTAAGTGAAAAATTCCCGTTTTTTTTAAGGCAGTACTACATTTTTCGTAATATTTAAATTTAATGAAAATGTGAACTCTCATGTTGTTATTTTTGTTTTCGTTTCTAACGTTGATAAGTTCGTTTAGATTTCTGTGGGCGCGAGTATTGCAAGAGACGGGAATCGCTGAAAATCTAGGAGCAAAACTTTTCTTTTATCTCACAGAAATGCTATTAAAATTATACCATTAAAGTATAATCTACACTTTGTTAAAAAAAAAACTAGTATACAATAACACTATTGATTACAATTTGTCCTATTTTTGGTGAAAATCAGGAGATTCCATCAAAATATTTAAGGAAAAGGCGTAAATAAAAATTAAAACAAATATTGTTTCATAAATTAAGAAAAGAATAATGCACCTATAAGTTTGTCAATTAGGAAGAGGGGAATCGCTGCACACTCTAACTGGTTACATTCGACAATATTGTTTAATAAATCCTAAATGATTATCTTTAATGTTGCCATTTTTGTTTTTATTTCTTACGTAGATAAGCTTGTTGAGGGTTCTGTAGCTGCGATTAATGCAACAGAAGGGAGTCGCTGGAAATCTATCTGAAAACTGCCGGTTATATTAAGACAGTCCTACATTTTTCACAATATTGAAATTCAATTAAGATCGTGAACTCTCATGTTGCTATTTTTGTTTTTATTTCTAAAGTTGATAAGTTCGTTTAGATTTTTGTAGGTGCGATTAGTGCAAGAGACGGGAATCGT